CCTTCTCAGTCACCAGATCTGAATCCAATCGAGCATGTTTGGGATATTCTGGAACGACGCCTGAGACAACGTTTTCTACTTTCATCAACTAGGCGTGAGTTGATTGACTTTTCCTCTCGGTGGAAGTGTTAACGTTCTGTTTCTGTTCTGTCAGTTGGAGTGTTACTTCTTGTTTTTGTCCTCTCGGTGGGAGTGTTAACGTTCTGTTTCTGTCCCTTCGGTGGTAGTGTTAAATTTCTGTTTCTGTCCTTTCGGTGGAAGTGTTAACGTCCTGTTTTTGTCCTTTCGGTGGGAGTGTTACCATCCTGTGTCTGTCCTTTCGGTGGGAGTATTACCGTCCTGTTTCTGTCCTCTCTGAGGAAGGGTTAGCGTTCTCTTCGAAAGCTGAGGCTTTTCCTAGTGTTAGATATTTCAATATGTTACTGCTTTCCAAAATATTTTTCAAAGTTAAACAAAGTAAATATATTGTAAGTCTTTGATTTTAGTATTAAGCCTAGACAGAGGGAAGAGTTAAAACTATTATAATTACAGAATTGATTGCGTTCTGACTATGAATAACCAAATGATTTCATTTTTCAAACCAAATGCAACAGAGTGAACCTAATCACATTTAAACCAAAAAACAAAACAAAGTCCCATGATCTCACAAAGTTGCCAAACATCGTCCAATAACTACATGTGCAAGTGGTTTCATCTATGTGTGAATTACTTGAAAGCTTGATAAAATATTATGCATGGTGGTATCACTTTCAGTCCTGGTCATCACATTTCTATAACTCATAGAGACTGAATATAGATACATCTAAACATAAGCAGCTAATTATCAACCACACAAATCTAGAGAAGTCAACACTGGATGTGTTGGGTTTTGAATCCAATAGCTTACGGTTAGTTATTTGAGCCTTTTAATAAAAGTGCAACTAGCTTTTGAGTTATATAATATAGAGTTAGTTATTTATTCGAGGCTTACATTTAGCGTTTGAGTTATATAATATAGAGTTAGTTACTTATTCGAGGCTTACATTTAGCGTTTGAGTTATATAATATAGAGTTAGTTACTTATTCGAGGCGTGCATTTAGCTTTTGAGTTATATATTTCACGGCTAGTTAGTTGTTATTGATCAATAACAGTACACCTGCATTTTGGGTTTTATAATGCACGGTTAGGTATTTGAGTCTGATTAACGAAAGAACGCCTGAATATGAGAACAGGTAATGCTAATGATTCAATTTTTCAGACATCAGTTTGTTTATAGTAATAAAATAAATTTGTAGTACATTATTTTTTGCTGTAATATGCTTTTGAAATTGCAGAATAAAACGTTTGCAAATAAACAAATTTCATGACAGGTTTGTCAAAAGTCATGGAACTGGAAATAAATTTTAAGGTTATGTCTCTCTCCCAAATATAAATAATTTTGTGCAACTAAGTTATTACGAAAAGTATTTGAAGTATTTCTGCTACACCGATCTTGATGATGAAACTAGTTGTGATAATATCAAATAGGAATAAGTAACTTGCTCTCTTTTCGTTTATAAATAAGACGAAGGTTGCCCTTTTCGATGAGACATTCAGTTCCAAAAAAGAAAATAATAACTTTTGTATGTTCAGACATAAACATATGTAAGCATAAACGAGTATATTACGAAAATCTGTAAGGCATTTTTCTTGAATCTTAGATTGTTAGTTTGTTTTAGAATTTTCGCCAAAGAAACGCATAACACTCCCTAATTTGGAACTGATACACCCAAGCAAAGGCAGCTAGTCAACCACATTTACCCGCCAACTCTTGTTCTACTCTTCTCTCGCAGAATAATAGGACTTAACTGTCATTTGTACAGAGCACCCTCGACCTCAAAGTGCATATTTTTTGTTAGTTGTTTCTGAACAACATTTTAAATACATTTTTGGAAGGATGAAATTCCTGATTAATTTGAGCATTGGCTACACACAAATATTGCAGAGAAATCAGGAAATTGTTTTGGTAAATTTCGTGTCGTTTAGTTGCTCAGAGCCAAAACAATTAATTTTGATTAATATTTCTAGTGTCTGTATTACTGTCCCCACTCCTTAAATATCAAATAAATTATTTTATATTACAAACCTTTCATGATATTGTTGAATTTTATTATTAGCAAGTCTTGAGAAGTGACTTTTTATATAACATTTTGGCCGACTTATAGATTACATGGCATTTTTATTTGACCAATAGGATTAAAATTTAAAAACTATTTTCGTTCAGTGATTACATTTCATGTTTGAGAGGTTTTAAAATAAAGAGGTTAAATCTAGAATTCAATCAGAAAATATTTTCAAACAAACTTACAGTATAAGCTTGTAAGATTATCATACCCCCAGTGGCACAGCGGTATGTCTGTGGACTTACAACACTAGAAACCGGGTTTCGATACCCGTGGCGGGCAGAGCACAGATAGCCCTTTGTGTAGCTTTGTGCTTAATTCCAAACAAACAAAAGATCACCATTATTTTTGCGCTAGCTCATACCATTTGATTTTTTTGTAAGTTTACATTTTTGAAAACATTCTTGATAAACATGTTTGTCGTTTTTGTTTCTTCATAAACTACAATCGATAGACCCAATCTCACCAATTTTATTTATCTGTTTTTAAACAAGATTGTGAAGATATTTTATTTGGTCATTGGTGAAAAACAGACGATGAATGTATTAACTACTTGCGTATCTGCCCAACAAGTAGTTCAGAGTAATCAGAATATTTTCTCGTGAAGTTTGGTGTCACTTGGTAGCTCAGAGATTACCAACACTATTCTCTATTCGGAGTTCTTAGGTAAATACATTTAAGTTACTTTCTATAAATTTTTCTATTTCTCCTATTAGCAAAACCATAAAAGCTCCTTTCTTGACCAATAGGATTACAATATGGAAATTTAGCTCACTTTCAAAGAGATTGACAAAGCAAAAGATACTCAGTTTTAAAATTTAGCAGTAGAAACGTGTCGTATTACAAAACAAACAAAATATCTTCGAGTAAATAAAACCTTTTTTTCTAAGCTTAGCTTTAATAAATAAGCTTTCTGTGATACTGTAGATCCTGATCTTTATCCGCGTTAATAAATGATGTCACAATATATCTGTGTGTTATTGTATACGCGCTCTTTTAATTTAGAAAGTAGATTAATCACAAGAGTGAGTAACATTACAACAGACTTACCTTAGTCTTCACCACCACTCCCATTCATTATCAAAGAAACAGAAATGCAGTTTAGAAATAATTGTAAGTTTATTATTCATTTACATGTATTTCTGATTTTTATTATCTATGTATTTTTTTTTTATTTTCTAAACTTAAAAGATCGAACTAACAGCGCATAAATTCCTTGCTGAATGAGTAGATAATTTATAATAACCTTTATAATACAAATATAATCAACAGTTGAATAAATATATTATTCTAAACCTTATTCATGAGCAACGTTTTCGGTACCAACTATGACTTAATTATATGGAAATAAACCAAAGATATGTTGGTTTTGTTTGCTTGTTTTGAATTTCGTGCAAAGCTTCACGAGGGCTATCTACGTTAGCAGTCCCTAATTTAGCAGTGAAAGACTAGACAGAAGGCAACTTGTCATCACTACCCACCGCCAACTCTTGGGCTACTCTTTTAACAACGCCCCCACGGCTGAAAGGGAGAGCGTGTTTGGTGGGATGGGGATTCGAACTCAGCTATGTTGGATAAAATAAATATTTTAATTTTGTTTTATGATTTTTTTGTATACTGCATGGTGTATATTGTTTTATCATATAACTGTACAATATTCTGAATATGAAACCCGAAAAAATGTCTTATTTTTTTTAGAATTTAGTCAAGTAATCCATGATTTTAAATGCATGAACTTTAAGCTGAAAACACGTGGTATTTTGTAGTTCTCTAAATCATTTTTATTTCGAAAATCTCAAAATATTTGTTACTATTATTACAGTTTCTTTAGAACTTAGGGCCAAATGTAGCCAAGTGGTTAGCATGCCGAACTTTGAAATCGAGAGTTCGTGGTTTGTGCCCCGTACTTTAGATTGTGATGTGTTATAAGAGTGATGCTCAAACCTCATCATTCTATTAGAGTATATCAAGAGTTGGTGATGGGTGCAATTGACTGACTGCTTTCCCTCTAGCCTAAGACTTTAAAATTAGGAACGACTAACACAGACTGTCTTTGCGTACTTTAGCTCGAATATTTGAAATTAACAAATTATCATTCAAATTTTATGAAAACACAAGAAAGTAATAATGACGGTTACGTACACCAAATATTATAACTAATTAAACAAAACAAGCGAATTTTCTTCGTTACTGTTTTCTGTCACAGACACACACTATCATTTGACTGATAAGTTACAGAACATCAGCAAAAGAAACGTCCGATTGAATGCCAAGTTGTCAACACAATTTTTTTTTCTGATTTTAGAACGATTGTATTTCAATTATGGATTTAAGAGGAACAAGTTTTTATATGTAGGTATATAACGCCGGATCCGCTGAAGTATGTAGATTCTTAAGTTGGAAATAAAATGAAACCTGAAATTAATAATATGAAAAACAAGTCTTTGTCGAGTTGTGACTTTAGCCTTCTCTTGCTTAAAAGATTAATTTTTTATTCAATTGTAACGTTAGCATTCAAATACTCACCTAAGAGCTTTTCACTTTTATTTTTCATTTCAAATTATTCTTGACACTAACGAATTGACGCAGAATTAAATATATTGATTTGTAAACAGTTTATTACAAAACTTTTTTTTTACATGCAATGTGAAAACAAAAAAAATTTATGTGGTTAAAACATTTCAGCAAACATCAAGCAAATAAATTACTGATCAGAAAGCAAACAAAACTTCGATATTACTAAGAAGTCAATTTAACAAAAACTAAAGACATTAATTAAGAAGAATGCACACATGATAATTAGAGACAACAATGTTTAAAGTTTAGTCGTTTTTTTTTCTACAAAATATTTTTATTCCTTAAGCGTGACCGTAACCGTAAGCCAAGGGAGCGTGATAGTAGGGAGCATGGACCAATTTGACGACTTTGTGAACTGGGGCAGCCTTGACTTGGATTGCAGGAGCTTCCTGAGCTGTTACCTCGACGTCAGCAGGATTGGCGTTAGCGGTGCCTGGTTCGTTGGTCTCGATGGAAGACTTGAAGCCCTCGGCATCAGCTACATAATTTACTCGCCGGAAGAGTCCGTTAGCGTCTGTGTAGGAGTAACTACCACTAACGGCGCCAGTTCCGTCTCCGGACTCCTGGCGGGCTTGGGTGTTACCATCTTCGTCTTTAGTTTCGTAACTGAAGTCATAAGGTTCGGGTTTCTCCTGTTGGTAAAGATGGTTTTATGTGAAAACTTCATAACGTATTTCACATTTTACGAATAGAAAATGTTTAAATAGAAGTCTCGAATAATATCACAAGTGAAAATACGATTTATTAATTTTTAGCTTATAAAATGATTTCATCTCTTGAACGTTTTATATGTGTTCTGTCAACCTGTCTGAATCCTTTGGTAACATTCCAGAATTCTTTACTGTACTTTCAAGTGAAGCTCCTACCGCATGTATAAAATTGAACGTGTTAATTATTATGTTAAACTAAATGAAAAAACAACTCGTTAAAAATCGTTGTCTCGTTAAAAATCGGATTTCGGCATCCGTGGTGAGCACAGCAGAGGCAGCACATTATGTAGCTTTGTGCTTAAAAAAAAAAAGCTCTTCTTGGTCCTTGGTTTTGATAACGATTAGCACGTTCATAAGGATTACAGAAAATTATTTTGATAATTATAATTCGCCGCTGAAGATTGTGAGAGGCTTAGTGTTGCCAAAACCTACTTTACTGAAATAGTTTGAACAAACTAGCGTTTCTTTCTTATATGAAACGTACTGTTCTCTAAAGAAAAACTTACTGTAATATAAAGTTTGAAATAACATGTAAGGTCAATGTTCTTAAATTAAATATTTAAAACTAGGTGTTCTAATATTGCTTTTCAGTGCAATCAACAACACACCAGTAAAAGATGTTAAACAGCACAATGATTCAGCGAATTCTATAAAAAAAATTCTTGCTGGTTTCATGTCCAACCAAAAAGTTCCTGTCCGAAAATTTTCTCTTTCCATTACCATTTAAATACGCTCGTTACTTTGATGTTAGTGAACCCTTTTATAGAACTATTGGACATGAACAATTATGAGTCGTTATCGTGAATGTGTAATGTAGACCGAGTGTAGACGATAGTGTCTATGTTTGTAACTAGTTTGTAACTTTTTATCCGAAAAGTTAATAAACCTTTTTTGGGGGAAGAATTAAAAATCGGAAACTTACAACTTCGACAGGTTTTGGTACAGCAACGACAGGTTTAGGTTGGTAGCTGTACAGAGGAGCATGGACAACCTTGACAGCTGGGGCTGCATAGAATGGATAACCAGCATAGGCAGCTGTAGCCAACATGCAAAGAACAAGTAGCTAGAAATAAAGAAAACAGCATTATTAATATCTTTGAATATTTTTAAATATGACAAAACAGGGAGTTCTCATCGATTATTGATTTTAAATAGTTATAGTTTAAATGTGATATTCAGCCCCCTGCAAGTTAGTGTGGCTATAATATTAACCGAATAAGAGTAATATTTCAAAGAAATTAACTATTTAATTTGATTTAATTTGACTCGTAGCAGTTTGACCATGTATACTCCATAAAAGTGGAAAAAAAATAAAGTTTGTAAGGAATGTATTGACTATTTTTAAAGGCCGATTTTAACTTTTTAGTGTAAAAATTGCCACTAGGGTATAACATTGCTTGTTTATTCAAAATATTTAAGCCAGAAACAGAGTTTAAACTTCAACAAAGAATTACCTTAGACATCTTTCGTATAGGGAGACTTTTACTAAGAAGAATATTTGATGAAGTGCGTTTACCGTCGACTCTGTGAAGACTGCTCAACAAATAGCATCTTTTATACTAAGGTTTGGCCTAGTTTTGATGAAAGAATAATGAGGTTGACGTGCAATAAAAAAGCATGATGAAAAAAAAATGATGCACGAGGATGGGAGCGGTGAAAGTTTACCCTAAGGGAAGGGAGGGTTTGGACCAGATTTTATCGTAAAAACACTCAAAATCTAGGTTTCTAGCTTCCAATATACCCTAGACAAATAGTGTTGACATGAACCAACGAGTGTGTATACAGAAATGATGAACAAGTAAACCGTGTGTCTCTTTAAACAAATATCACATATGTTTGTAAAATCATTAAAACAAAGATCTGTTGAAGAAACATAGATGTAGTTTTGAATTCTTAATTTAAAGATGTTTTAGTTTATTTTCACAATGTATTTGTTGGTGAATACAGATCTTGGCATGATCTTATACATATTTTGACTTATCATTATTTGATTACTGGGAAAATACTTGTTGCTTTTCGCTTAATGTTATGTTTTCTGGTTGGTAATGCTGAATTAATCTAATAACACCTAGCTTTTAGCATTTTTTATTGAAAATTTCTCAGATATAAGTAAAATAAAAACTTAGGATGACACGCATAATAATCTCCTATGAGTTAGGTGTTTTAAAAATATTATCATAAACTATGCTGTAACATTGCCTTAACTTTGGGGGGAAAACTTTTACAACACCTTGAATAATCTTCAATATTCAAAGATAAGTCTACTTTCCTTGTGAATCTAGGCAACCAGATATGTGGATCAGAGGGACCCCCTGCATTGATTTTAATATACCATTTTACGAATCAAACCAAGCTGACATAAAAGTCTGTGGAAAATTCAGAAGGATGTGCAGATAATCTGTGGACTCTTCCGCTCATAGTACAGAATTCGTCATGGTTGATTATTTAAATATTCAACAACCTGTTAGTACTTAAAGGAAGATGCCGGTTTCAAACCGAACTGTCTGGAATAGTGAAGTAGTATAAAGATCACTATGCCACACCATGGAGATCATCTAGAAATACTCTATTCGTTGGTTATCTATTAATATTTTTACTCTATTGTTTTGTAGAGTTACCAAGGGATTTGAAATTATTTCTTGTTGTTTAAGCCTATACTGATAATGAGATCACGAGAAATGTAGTAAACATATCTGATATCTCAGAAATATAATTGAGCTGCGCATTGCTTTGCTAGTGTTTCCAAGAGAGGTTTAATACTAAAAGAAAGACATGTCAAATATAATACTAAGGTTTGTTCTTCTCGGATCTAAACAGCATGTTCGTATGGATGTATAGTCAGGTATGTATATTTGAGAACATTTCTGGATTTGTTTTGGCGAGTCATGTTCATTATTTTCAAATCTTAACATATGATATATTACGTACGGTTTAGCATTTAAATATTATCACTTACAGACAAAGACTCAAACATTAACTATTAACACTTACAGACAAAGTATTCAAACATTAAGTATTATCGCTTACAGACAAATTATTCAAACATTAAATATTAACCCTTACAAAGTATTCAAACATTAAGTATTAACACTTACAGACAAAGATTCAAACATTAAATATTAACACTTACAGACAAAGATTCAAACATTAAATATTAACACTTACAGACAAATATTTAAACATTAAATATTAACACTTACAAAGTATTCAAACATTAAATATTAACACTTACAAAATATTCAAACATTAAGTATTAACACTTACAAAGTATTCAAACACTAAGTATTAACACTTACAGACAAATATTCAAACATTAAATATTAACACTTACAGACAAGGTATTCAAACATTAAGTATTAACACGTACAAAGTATTCAAACATTAAATATTAACACTTACAGACAGAGTATTTATATATTTTTTTAATTTTAGTTTGATTTTCTTGAATTTAGTTGAAACTCTTGTTCATTATCAAAAATTCACAAATAAACCATGGTGTGTACTAAAAATATTAGTCCTAAAATCTTAGAAATAAACTCTATACATTTGTTGTTTTGTAAGGGATGTTTCGAAATCGTACTCTTCAGAGTGTATGCTGCAAAGTAAAAAAAAAAGGTAAATTTACCATTCATAGACAGAAACAAGGAAACTACTTGATATGTCATGTTTATAATACAAATAGACCTCCCTTTGTTAAAAACTTTTTACTTTTTATGTTAAGATAACAACAAAAATGTCTAAAGAATTAACTGATTGCTAGTGAGTTTTTATATACTTGTTTCAGAGTTCTCTACTGAATATTCAGCTAAGTTTAGTATATGTGATATCAACGTGATACAGTTGTTGTTGTTGTTGCTTGTTATTAAGCACAGAGCTACAAAAAGGGCTATCTGTGCTCTGCCAACAACGGGTATTGAAACCCGGTTTCTAGCAATATAATTTCGCAGACATACCGCTATGCCACTGGGGGCACGTAATACAAAGTAGAAAAAGTACCCGTTATTCTCCTTTTAAAAAATATAGTAATTTTGTTATTTGAAAAAATATGCATTCACACACACACACACACATATAAATTTTGTTTGTTTGTTTGTACTTAAGCCCAAAGCTACACAATAGGCTATCTGTGCTCTATCCACCACGGGTATCGAAACCCGGATTCTAGCGTTGTAAGTCCGCAAACATATCGCTGTGCCACTGGGGGGCCATATATATATGTATACACACACATTTATTTCCTTTATTATTACACAACTAAGATTGGTTAAAAAAAGAGGATTTATCCACTCTCTCGCTCTCATTTTGCCCTGAGATGAAAATCTTATTTGCTGTGGGTGATAACAAGAGAAGGCCTGAATATGCCCAATATGTCCAGAAGTTTATATCACTGATCGTGGCGTTGCGTAGCATTGTGTTGCATAAATACCGTCAAAGAGAAGAAAAATGATAAACTCTAACGTAACGGTTGCTTTTCAGTTGCAATGAACTGCATTTTTAGAGTCGCAGAAAGATAAGCGTAAAAGTGAAATATTTAGTTCAGCTCCGTTTTTGTTCGATTAGGACACTCAATTAGCTCGCTGTAACAATATACTGTCTCAAACCAAAGCCAAATATTGGTGTGGGATTTTAATGTGTGCTCAGACATATTCTAGACTGTCTTTGTGGTTAAGTAGCACCACAAACTTGAACAGCCTGAGGAGGTAGGGCAAATAATATTGATTCTTCAGAATATTGGATTTCAACACAAACTACATGGATTTATTTAACACTTTCACCGTTAAAAGGTATATATATATACAGTGAAAAAAAACAGGGACTTTGTTTTTAAAATAACACATTTTGGCACTTTTATTTCTAGAAAAACATAGTTCTTCTTGGAGACCTGAGATTAATATGACAATTATTATAGTAAAAAACTCAATATTAAGAAACACGATTGCTAGATGCAATTGAAAGAACAGACTCAAATAACGAAGATAGTTACAAACTTCTTATGAAAGAAATTTACATTCTTCACCATTGAATTGTCCCAGCTGATGTTCTTAGCTGGTAAAGCTGTCGTTATTTGTAATGTTTTTCAATTTAGTTATTTGATAGAAAGGAATAACTAAGTTAGAAATAATTTAATGTTTTGATATTGGTTACTTGTAGTTGATAGAAGGTAAGAATAATCAGTAGTGTTTTGTAAAAGTTTTCATAGTGTCATGATCCAGCTGATTCTAAAAACCAAAGAATTTGGCTAAGTGTTCGAGGGTGAGCTACTTATTTAATAAAACATTGTGGGAGTGTATCAGTTATCAAAGATAAAGAATACGAAAAATATGGTCTACAAAAAAAACAAATGATAAAAGTACACAGATAAAATCAAAAAATTATATTTTTGCTGTTTTTATACCAGGATAAAAAAAAATTCAATTCTGAGCGCAGCACTATTTTTGGTTATATTTTATTCATTTCTCACATTTTAACTTCTAGACGGCTCTGAATATGTTATTTTCTGTTGCCTCAAAACATTCGCTATGCACTTTAAGGTCGTAAGTGTGCTACAACATGATGGTCAAATCCCACTGTTAGGTCAGATAACATTAGACTAAGATTTGGACCTTCCCTCTAGTCTACCAGTTCAAAATTAGGGAGGGCTATGCAGATGACCATTTATGTAGTTTCGAACAAAAATTCTAAAATAAACAACCTCAATAACTTATAAATATCGATTTAACATCTCCAAACTTGATTTTTTTCATGTTTACTTTTATTACGTGTTTTATGATAGTATTAATGAATAAGATTTTCTGGTGTTAAGATATTGGTTTTGTGCAGAGTTGGTAGGATTATTGTTGGTGAACGTGCAGTTTATGTAGGACAGTGATTTTTCACAGGACTCATCTTGTATGTGATGCAAGACAAACTCGGAACTGGGTTTGTTATAACTGTTGAATGTGCAGAAACGCCCCTTAAGTGTAAAAGGACGTAACCTGTTTACGTTTAGGGTCGGAATATAAAACTACTGTATTTTTGTGTTTTATTACTTTCCTGTTGTGGCACCATAAACAAGTAAGTGACATTGTAACCTGTTAGTCAGTTCACTGTAACAGCAGCTTCGAAGTTCGCTGTCCTTTTGATTGTTATGTTATTTTTTTCCCGAGAAACGAAAACAAGTTGCTACGAACGCAAGGAACGTGAAAACTTTCCTAATCGAGTAGTATATGTACGACCCGTAAACAAATAAACACCAATTTCTTTAAGATCAGTTTACTGGAATAATAATAACGACGATTTTATCTTTTGCATTATTCAATAATGATCTACTGGTGAAGGTCTGGCTGTTAAGGCGTTCGACTCTCAATTTGCCTGTCGTAGAATCGAATCCCCGTCACCAAACATGCTCGCCCTTTCAACCGTGGGAGTGTTATAATGTAACGGTCAGTCCCACAATTCGTTGGAAAAAAGTAGCCTAAGAGTTGGCGGTGAATGGAGTTGACTAGCTGCCTTCCCTCTATTCTATCACTGCTAAATTGGAGAAGGCTAGCGCAGATAGCCCTTGTGTAGGTGTATGAGAAATTCAAAACAAATCAAACCAAATCTGCTTGTGTATTTTTACTTTATTTCTGCAGCCATGGTATAAATAATTTACAAACCTTTTAATCCAGATGAGCGTTTATTTCATCAGACTGTCGAATTGTTTTGCCACGTGAGGGGCGCGGGTTGGCCCTATAGTAGAGCTCTGGATTTCAGAGCTGGTGAGTCGAGTTCGAACCCGAACGATACCACAAAACATTCCTGATATATAGCTATGGGTGTGTTATAACAGCGACAGTCAATCCCTTAGTGTGAATGGTGGGTGTAAGAGTGCTACTTATTGTTTGCTTTCCCTCCAATAGCTCAAAATTAGGGACAGCAGCAGATAGTCTTAGTAATTTTGCAATAAATATAAGATTCAAATATCTACGTGAACTCCATATGATATTTCCTTCCTGTTTGCAAAGATAAGCATGATTATTTAACGTTTATAGAGGCCATACAGAATAAACATTCTAGAACACTGAAACTGACCAAAAACTGTCTTTACTGCGTGGAACATTAATAACGAAATCAATCTCTTCAGGATGCTTTATCCCCTAAATGTATCATTAACCTCCTTCGGCGGTTTGAGACCCAATGTTGCTTAAAATTGACTTTTTTAGTTGATTGTGACAGGGCTTTGCAACATTATATAGATATATACAAGGAAACAAATATGTTGTGTTGAAGGAAGTAATTAATAAAACTGAAACAGCATAAAAATGACTTTAAAAATATGTTTAAAAACTCTTTGTTAATTACTGTTATTTTAAATATATAAATAAATAAATACATAAAAATACCGGTTTCGTATCATCCAGGATACTTTTCAGTTTCTACAATAAAGCTTTCTCGAACCCGCTCCCAGTGGCACAGCGGTATGTCTGCGGACTTACAACGCTAGAAACCGGGTTTCGATACCCGTGGTGGGTAGAGCACAGATAACCCGTTGTGTAGCTTTGTGCCTACTTAAAAAAACGAACAAACTTTCTCGAACCAGACCTACTTAACAATGTATTTGTGGTTTTATTTATTTCTTTTAAATTAACAGTAATAAATAAAGAGCTTTTAGAAATATTTAAAGTTATTTTTATATTGTTCATTTTATATATATATAACTTTATACGTTTTGTTTAAATGAAGTTTTCCTCTGGTATTTGTTATGTGCCTTATGTTACAAGCTCTTTTTTTCTTGATTATTTCCTTTCACAATTGCATTGGCATTATTTTTTTGGAATGAAATTTCACTTTTAAGATAAGCTGCTCTTTTCTCTTCCGCGAAGGTTGAAAGAAAGACAAGTCTATGTGAACTCCTATAGAATTTGCAATAAGATAAATATTCTAAGGAATTTCCTTAAGTGTCCAGTAAAATTTCAACTTAGTTTAAGAATCTTTTGTCATGAAGTCCACGGAATCATTTCAAACACGTTCCTTATTTTTCAGATCTCTTTCTTATAATTGTCCACGCTGTCCATATACAGGCAAATTACACCCATATTTCTTTCTGGTAAACTTTTCTCAAATCACAAAATGTTTGCCAAATCTAGAACGTATAAAGTGTGTCTTGTTTGACGGGTATTTTAATACTGAATCCAGAGCGGTGTAAAATATTTGACAAAATCATCACGAGAATACGTATTTGTCTTCCTCAGTCAACGTAACTTTTTTGTTGGCACATATATTAAATCTGGTCAATCAACGTTCTTGATATTATTCTTAGTTAACCACCACACCCAAATTTGAAATATTTGAATTTCCAGTTCATCATTATATGATACTTCTAGGCCAGCTTAACTGTTTGGAGACTCCTTTGCTAGAGGGCATTGAAGGCTCCTGTTACGCACGTGAACCGTTCTGAAGGTAACAAGTTTCACTTTTAGAAAAGTGGGTTACCGGTTGGAGGTTCCCGTAGTTTTATTGTCGTTGGACAATACTCAAAGTAAGTAAGATGGACAAGTCTTATGCTTGATTTTGTCTTCTAGGAGATAAACCGAAAGGTAAAAGACGAACAGCTGTTGCCCACGGTGTATTTTTCAGCTACTGAAATGAGGTTACTTCAGACAATACAATGCAAGCAAAGTTTTTGTATAGAGAGAGAGGAGTGAAAGGAGAAAAAATATATTATTCTGGCTTAATCCATTGCTCTGACGAACGAACCCATAAAGATTAAAATAAAGAAAGTGTCGGAAAAATCCATCTGACGCTACAGTAAAAAAAAAAATTATGTTGATATTTCAAAAATTAGTATTTTGAAATTGATATAACAAAACATCTTTCGTTGAATTAACTTCTCTTTTGCTGAAAAGTTAAAGTTACCTATCAGTAATATTTAGATATTTAATAATAATTAAGTTTCTTTTGTATACACAACCATTTCCGATTCAATTGTAGCAACCTTTCTTTTGTATGCAGTTTATTCCAGTCGTTTTTGTTTCTACAACGAGGGATGCTTAAGGTACAAAGTGAACAATAACGTAATATATAAACATAAGCTGGTTACATCTACGATAATTGTTCGTTCTATAGTGACAGATAATTATGTAACAATCTTTGCCCCCACCGGTGTGTCTGCGGACTTCCAACGCTAGAAACCGGGTTTCGGTACCCGTGGTGAGAAGAGCATAGATAGCCCATTGTGTAGCTTTGTGCTTAACTTCAAACCAACTCAAACAAAAAAAAATTTCTGTAGATTCGTTTGTCTATTATCGGACTCTACAATATTGTTTTGTATCCTAATCCTAAAGGACTTGAAGTAAAAAATTATATGTACAAAATATAACAAAACTTTCTCACGTGGACAAACTTTTTAATTGTTGCATACGGTTTTGAATATCGTGTCCTCCAAGAAAGGTCCATCGAGTGAATTGCTTCTGTGGAAGGTGGTTAAGAACGTTATGTTGTATGTGCCAAAAAGTATAGATCCAATGGCTTAGAGCATCGTATTACATAGATCTATATCGTTAAGAACATTATGTTATGTGTTCCATACTTGTTTAGATCAAATTGCATTATGTTGTATAGATTTATATAATTTAGAGCATTATTCTGTGTGTACGACTTATATATATACTGAAAGAAAAATGTTACTTACTTTGGGAATCATGGTAACTCTATTGCGGAAGAGTTTGGTAAAAACCTAAGATTTGTTGAGCGAAGTTGTAGAGTGAAGAGGAGAAGATGTCTCTCACTTTTATACTAAAATTCTGGTCCTGATTTTTTCTTTAAATTTTGTTTAGATGGACTAGTAGGTCGCTTTAGGTTAAGAAAAAAATCAAGATTTGTCGTGATGGTATTTTTGACCGTTTAGCCTAGAAAAGGTGTCAGTGGTGAACATCGTACTTCCTGAATCAACAGGGGGTTGACATGATCTAGCCCGTACTGGACGATTGAGTGAAACAAGCTACGCCAAAAGTGTATGGATCCAGATTAGCTTTTATATGTCATTTCAACGTGATAAGAATCGACTAGTAACTATGTGTTCTAAATGTTTTATCATTTGTCAACGAAGTCCTTAAGTACAACATCAGAAATTCGTCTCTGGGCAGTAGCATGGTTACCATAGAAAGAAACACGAATCACTAAGCAACCGCGTGAACACCGTAGTAAGGAACATGGATGTAACGGCCGTGGACAGGTTGAATTATTTTCACGATCTTGTGGACAGGTTGAGGGGCAGGGGCAGCAGCTTCTTCAACTACAATCTCGACATCAGCTGATGCTGAGTTGCTAGTACCTTGTTCGTTCGTTTTGATTTTAGGACGAAATCCGTTCACGTCGGATACGTACTCCACCTGACGGTAGACACCGTCGGCAGTCTTGTATCCATAGGATCCACTTACAGCACCATTTGCGTCACCAGATTCTGATCGGCTGATAGTGTTACCATCCTCGTCCGTATTTTCAAATTGAAACTGATATGGTTCTGGGGCCTCCTGGTGGAAAATGATTTTTCTTTAGCAAAAAAAGGGAACTTTTATATTTACGAACTAGTAGTTATCGTTACCAAAACCACGATTGGAATATTAAAATATAATAGTTTCTTTCTGTAACAAATAAAAGGTCAATAGGTTTTTTAACGAAAATAAAATATAGTGTGTAAACGCAACAGCGCTTTCATGATGGAAAGAGTTCTTGACGTTAACCTTAAATTACAGAATAATTTAGATATTTTCTTGAAAAAATAAATTCAAAAACAAGGCTAAATATTAGGTTTTCAATACCGGTTTGCAAAAGTATATATAACTACTTATACGAGGCTTGTTTTCAAAGCAGAGAAAAATAAAATGAATTCTTATACCTCCGGTGCCGCGACCACTTTCGGTTGGTAGCTTGGAACTTGGATGACTTTTATCACCTGACCACCGTACGGTAAAAGACCACCTCTTACGGCAACAACGAAAAATAATAGTGCGAATACCTGAAATTATTATAGAAATATTTCAAAATTTAATACACTGTAAGTAGCAAGTGTGTCAAAAGAGACTTCACGTAACTTCTTTTCAAATGTTAGGCTTGTAAATTAATACCTGAATTTTGCATAGTGATACTTAATATAATTCACACATCTACTGTTCAAGCTGCTGTATGTGTGTCAATATAAAATAAAATGAGATAGCAGAAATTTTAGAGAATTTGAAAATATTACGGAACTATCTGAAGTACAGTACATAATATTTCATTTCTGATTAAGTTACTGAATAACACATTTCAGAACAACTTTGTCAATGTGGACAGATCCAGAAATATCAATGATAAAACTAGTAGCTATTGCGTTAATGAGCACTTCCAAGGTAAGTTATTTCTTTAGTACCAAAAGTTAGCTTTGCTCTTGTGATATGCCGTTATTACCAAAAGCCATCTTTACAGTTTTACTTGTATACAGAGCTCTGTTTTAAAGCTTCATGATATAAATAATAATCACGTATTGTGTTAGTTATTGTATCTCTAAACCAGTTTTCCATCTTGTAATCCCGATGATGACTCTCACGTTTCTACCATTTAAACCGTTGTATATTAATAACTGCGATTGTTTCACAAAAAAAAAGATATATATGTATTTACATATAGAGAATAGTTTCTGAAGTAGACATGCCCAATAAGAAACCTGTTAAAATACAGAGAGTAAAGCGAAAATTCTCTTTCTTTAGGACGATTAATAATTTCGGTTCATGATCAGCTTTACAGTAGAATTGTTTGTTGAAACAATTATTAATATACTTTGGAGTTTTACAACTATTTTTCTGTTTTTGTAGTTGTTGTTACGTGCATGGATTATAAGGGTGCGGTTTTTACGCTTTGCGAAATCTTTCTTTGTAAATGGTTAAATATAATGAAGATTGCTAAATATGTAAAGTATATCATTATTGCTGTATAAAAACTTTCTACTGCTTACCTTGAACTTCAGTTTTTCATCTTTCGTGCCGTAAAAAGCTTCTCTT